TTCCAACTCAGCGGCCCATCTACCCAATGGGACAAAACACTGCCCCTCAGCACCACTGTCACGGTTTGTGTTATGCTGTTGCCCACTGTTGCAGCCACTGTGTTGGTCCCTCTGTTGAGGGTCTTCCTCTTTTTTTGCCGACCCTCTACTTTCACAAGCATGATGTCCTTCTCCAGGGACCAGTCTCTCCTGATAATACATCCAAAGTACATATGAAGTCTCATTATCCTTGTTTCTAAGGAATATTCTAAGGAAATTTGTTCTTCTGGCTGTCCACGGTGTATTTAACATTCTTTGCCAACACCATGATTCAAAGGCATCAATTCTTCTTTGGTCTTCCTTACTTGTTGTCCAGCTCTCACATGAACATATGGAGATTGAAACTGCCATGGCCTGGGGGTCAAGTGCATCTCAGTCCTCAAGTGACATCTTTGCTTTTTAACACTTTAAGGAGACCTTTTGCAGCAGCTCTGTCCAAGGCAATATGTCGTTTGATTTCTTGCCTGCTGCTTCCTTGGGTGTTGATTGTGGATCCAAGTAGAATGAAACTTTTTAAATCTTTTCTCCATTTATCATGATGTTGCCTATTGGTCCAGTTGTGAGGATTTTTGTTTTACGGTGAGATGTAATCCATACTGAGGGCTGGAGGCTCTGATCTTCATCAGCAAGTGCTTCAAGTCCTCATTGATTTCAGCAAGCAAGATGGTGTCACCTGCATATCTCAGATTGTTAATGAGTCTCCCTCCAATCCTGATGCTGTGTTTCTCTTCATACAGTCCAGCTTCTAGGATTATATGCTCAGTATACAGACTGAATAAATATAGTGAAAGGATACAACCCTGATACACACCTTTTCTGATTTAAAGCCAGGTAAACATTTTCTGATACTCTTTGCTTTCAACCAAGATCCTTTTGAAATCAGCAATATCACGTTCCATGTCCTCTTCTGAATCCAGCTTGAATTTCTGGCAGTTCTCTGTCAAGGTACTGCTGTAACCATTTTTGAATTATCTTCAGCAAAATTTTACTTGTGTGTGATATTAAAGATCGTTGTTGTTGTTACGTACCGTCAAGTTGGCCCCGACTCATAGCGACCCCTTCTTGGGTTTCTGACACGGTATCACTACAGAAATAGGATTGCCCAACCTTCCTTCCAAGGAGTGGCTGGTGGGTTTGAACCACGAGCCTTCTGGTTAGCAGTCAAATGCCTTAGGCATACAGTTTGATAATTTCTGATTCTGTGGATCACCTTTTTTTGGGAACAGACACAAATATCATTTATTATGATATTTGATCTCCAGTGTAGTTTTTATCACTAAGGCCATGTTTTCCAACTATCTTTCCTTCTTTGTTCCCAACGTTTCCTTTCAAATCACCAGTAATTATCAATGCATCTTGATTGTATGTTTGAT